GTATTCTTCCACACACCATCCTGCTTAGAATTACATGTGGTAACAGCTATGTAATACTTTGTATACATTTATTTTTAAAATGTAAAACACCATGCCTTAAAGGCCACTGGTCACTTATATAAAACAACCCAAAGTGTCACCTTTTCGTTTAAATAATGTAGCAAGAAGAAATTTAATTATCTTTTGATTTTGAATGAATTCCCTTAAATAAACAAATAATCATATGTCCCATGCGGACTCTGATCTAAAGTGCAACATTAACAAGCACGCTTAAAAAGGAAAGCAGGGTATACTTTCTTGGCCCCTTGTTTGTGACATGTAAATGCAGAAATGAATCTGCAGCTTGGGGAATCTGTTAGTAGACTGCTTTCACTTTGGGTTTGTGCTTATAGATGTTTAATTTCACTTGTTTGGGTTAAGACAAACCATTATATCTGTCAAGCTCGCAGTGTTCTCTGCTCCATTCACTCCTTAGGGAACTAAACTTTTAACGTGTGATTTCATCATGCCAAGATCTGAAGACCTTTTCAAAAGACTTATTTAATTATTATTTAACAAATTATAATTAACTATTTAAATTATTTAACAAAATAGTTAAATTAATGAATATCATCCTAAAGTGGTATAGTTTTCAATCAAGTGGCCTTTTGTCCGGGGTCCAGATGATGAAGTTCAATGCAAAATAAGCCTTTGAGTAGCTCTAGAATTTCATCACAGGAAAAGACTGCACACATTTGACTCGTGGCAATAACAACGCCTTTTGGAATTATGTGCTCTGGCCATCAAAAATGTAAAAGAAAATGTTTTATTGAAAAATAAAAAGGCCATAAAAAACCTTTCCAGATTTAACATCAGCACCCACATTGTGGGCCAGAATACAATGCAGTGAGTTTCCATTGCTGAGGCATGATATGTTGGCGGCCCAGTATTTTTGTCCATATAGTCTAAATTTAGATATGTCATCCATGAGACATGGCTATGACTAACACCACTCACACTGTCATACATCTTTCATAATTGAACAAGCGAAAGGTCATCATTTCTACATAGCTGTTGTCATGCACGCTGAAAAGAAAACCAGTGTCACAAAACTTAAAACACTTCCTGAATGGCCTTTGATCAGCATTTCAAGTGTGTGGAAAGAAAAAAGTCACACCTAGACACAAAAAGAACAGTGTGCTGATGTACCTACCAAATGTATGAACGTTGACATTCATAATAAATTCCATTGTGCATGCAGGAAATGGCTTGTCATCTAAGTGTGTGAATATTCTTCATAGTGATTGTGTAGTACATTGGAATTTGTCTAGTCGTTACATCTTTTCACTGGTTTTCACAGCACTGTTTGATGACAGCGCATTGCAAATGACATTGTTTCAGGTCATATATTCAAATGTTCTCTTTGAGCGACAGTTTATAAGTAGAACAAGGCCACAACACATTCATGTTTTACTTCGTGTTGTAAACAGAAGTAGGAACTTGAGTCACTGTTGCGACTACAGAACAGAAATGTGCAGTTGACTGTCATGAAGTACCTTTCAAGAAACTTGTATCGCTGTTCCCGATTGAGTAAAACAATGTTAGTTTTTTGCTATTCCTGAATGACATATTCATTGTCTTTTTGTGAAGTAAAGCTTTTTCTGCAGGTGTCCTGATTTCCTTTTCAAGTGGCTGTTCTTTCATCTTAGTTTGAAACCTCAGAAGTTGCCCTACCCTTTTTATTCAGATTGTTGTTGTGGGTTTATTTTTCTTTGAAAATTATTTTTTACTTAAATTTAGTTATTACACTGAATTGACAATGGATAAAAAAAATCTAGTCTTGTCATTCCCTCAATTTTGTTTTTGTTTCATTATCAAAAACTAATGAAACAAAAACAATAGTATTACAGGAAGTAACAATAGTATTTTATACTTACTTTATCAATACTTTAAAGAAGCTCTGTGTTCACAAAGACAATGGCAAGAACTTTCTGGTAGTTTTCATGTAGTTATTCTTACCTTTTTTACTAAGTATCCCTCTCTGATCTCTTGTGGCTCCATCACGCTGCTGTCTGCTGCAAATGTGACTCTTGTCAGTAACTGTCAAAAAAACACCCTCTTATCCATGTCACCTCTCTCTCTCTCTCTGTGTGTGTGTCACTGTCAAACCACAAAGAACAGCGTACCATGAGCAGGAAGTTGTGCTCTTGGGTGTCTGCCAATAAAGACTGGTCAGCTAGCTTCCTCTTCTCTGCGATATAATTAGTTTGTACTGCTCTGCTGAAGTGTCTAAATTTTATAGTGTTAAATTTAAAGAGATAGCATTGGAGCTCTAATAATAGATGCCCTTGTTTGCGTGTCATTATGGTAAATTTCTGTTTCTATCCATTTCAACAGAGAAGCTTGTACTGGTAAAAGTATTTGTATTCAGCTTACTGTAAATCTGCTGCATTTAGACACCTTCAAACCAAAATTTTAAGCCATTTTTGCTGTGTTAGTCAACTTGTATTTCCCCTACTGTATTTCTGTCTTTTTTTGTTGTTGTGTTCTTTCCCCACTGTGTTCCTTCTTTGTCTTTTTAACACTGCGTTGAATTTGTCGTGATGTCCAGCAGCAGATCAAGTGGAGCAGAGGGAGGACCTAATTGCTGACCCGTGGAGAGCAGAGTTAACAGAAGGTGAGCAGTTTATTCAGGCTGGTTGGCAAAACACTACAAAAATAAGAAAACCAAACTAAATGAGGAACTAACCATGAAACGAGCCAAAACCAAAATGAGGGGATAAAGTAGTCGTATTACCAGCCAACTCAAGAACAATGAACAGAATTTTACTATTTTATGGCTCAGAAACAAAGTTTTCCAGCTGGGGGAGAGCATCTAGGGAAGAGGCAGTCTTGGCAGGAAGGATCATAAGGAACCCAGCATCGGCTGATGTGGCCTGGGAAACAGTGGAACCTCCAGCGGGCTGGGCAGCAGGCCCTCCGGCAACCACCGGCAGCCACCGCCCATGCCTCAAAATTTTCATAAACAAAATCTGCTGGGTCTATTCTGATCAGGGCATACTGTCATGATCTCCGGCAGCAAATCGAGTGGAGCGGAGAGACGACCCAAATGCAGACAGTTGAAGACCTGTCTTAACAGAAGGACAATGTACACACTGCGGGGTGATCAGGGAAGTGGAAACACATGGGAACACAAAAAGTTGATTTTGTTCATCTGGACATAACATTTTCAGTGGGAGGCCTGACAAGTTAGACCTGTGTTGTGCCATCCGCTTAGGCAGAGGCTGTTTGGTTTTCTCGACATATAAATCATTTCAATCCTCCTGGTAATTACTCTGTTTGTGTCGGGGAACCCAATCCTTGGGGTGGACCAATTTTTGGCGCAGTGTGTTTTGGGAGTTGAAAGCTACAGAATGTTTAGAAAAAATACTTCGCAACTGTTCTGATACTCCTGACACATAAGGGATCACTAAGGGTTTTCGCTTAGACAGCAGTTGTCCTTCTTTCCTGGATCGGCTGGAGCTTTCTTTAGGTGGCTTCCCGGCTTTGACAAATGTCAAGCTGGGATCATCACGTCGACTCAGGGCCTTTTTGAAGTGTTTTTGTTCTTCGCTGGCCGCTGTATCTGTGGGGATGGTGTTTGGTCTGTGTTGTAGCGTCCTGATGACACCCAGTTTGAAAGATGATGAGAGTCAAACCTTAAATACTGATCTGTATGCGTTGCTTACAGTACACATTAACTTTTAAATGTCCCCCATTACTGACTGAAATCTCTTAAGAAGGCTAGTCTGTCATTTCTCATATCCTCCCTGGTGAACTTGATGTATTTGTTCTCTGGTTTAATGTGATCAGTGAATTTGGTACATCCTGATCTCTGATTTTCACCCAGTTGTCATCCACATACCTGAACCAATGACTTAGTGGTGTTCCAGGGTAGGATAACAGGGCCCTCTTTTCCACTTCTTCCAAGTAAAAGTTGGCCTCAATGGGTGAAACTGGGGAACCCACGGCACAGCCATGTTTCTGCCTGTAGTACTGACCGTTGTATGTGAGGGTCAGTATGAAGACACAGTTCTGAGAGCAAACACACTTGGTTGGTGCTGAGTCTAAAACACAAACTCTTGGTCAAAGACCCATAACAGATACATTTGTACATCTTACATAAGGCACAAAAAAACCTATTTTTGCCTGCAAACAGAAAGAAGAAACAGATTTGTTAGCACTAAGCATGAATTGGAAACATGGGAGATATGTCAGTGTAATAGGAATATTCATTAGTAAGCATCTAAGGTACATGAACGTAATGTAATTTGACTCTCCACCATCCATCTGGGACTCTCCACCATTTGACCTTAGAACTGAAGAAGCTTCTCGGATGAGAGGTGAAACGTCTGCAAGTAACTTAAAGAAGTCCAGACGCTTTTCTTTGCAAGCTCCTTTGACTACTATGACCTGGATGACTGAGAACCTTCACAGACATAATGTAATTTGACTTTGCTCCTCAGAAGCTGTGCTTAGCTTCTTGGTTTTCACTTAGTTTCTGACATAAAACTCCCAAATCCTCTTTTGCTGTATGTTTATGAAAATCAATACTTTCCCAGTTTCAAGCCAAAGGTTCCACTTTCCCTTTTCATATGCACTGAAAATATGTCTAAACAAACATGTTTTTGGTTTTTTTTTTTGGTTTTTTTACTTTGGAATATTATCACTTTACATACACTGTGTTCAGTATAAGTCAGAAATAAATGTCAAAGTTTATTCTCCACTACACTACACTACAAAGCAGATTAAGTATGTATAATCAGAAATTCTGTGTATGACTTCATCTAAAAATGTATGATTGAAAGTGTTCATATAACACTTTCAATCATACGTGTTTTCAAACTTAACTGAAGCTTCTGATTTGCATATTCTTATTGCATCTTTCTTCTGTATGTTTTGTGCTGCAGTTTTTATAATCTGTAGGATGATTTCATGATGCTATGAATGTTTTCAGCAACCTCACATAAATGTGATTCTCTATTCTAAAAACACTCCCTAACTGATGCATTGCACCTAAAGCTGAGCTAAGGTAGACGCTCTCTGCCCTAAAAAAAATTACTTTTTTTCATAATTGCACAATTTCTTTTAAATGTATTTTAGCAAAGTATGCAGATTAAATTTTAAAAAGCGATAACAGCTTCATATATATAATATGCTTGCAACTACAGTTGCCCTTTGCGCTCTTGTGAAAAACCAGTTAATCCCATGATTCAGGGGTATGTAGAAGCATCCTTAGTGGTAATTATTTGAAGTAACTGTTTTCTGCATGACATTAGCAAGTAAGTAAGTAAAATTTTATTTATATAGCACATTTCTAGATAAAAGATCACAAAGTGCTTTACAAGGTATAGGAACAGATTAAAAAGACAAAGTACAGTCAAAAGTTAACAAAATGCAATTTTAAAAAGATGTGTTTTTAGCTGTTTTTAAAAGTAATCAGTCTCTCACAACATTGTGGAGGGCTTTTGGCCATGGCCACGGACATCTCAACATGCAAACTGGAGAAGCGCTGACCTTCCTAGCAGTGGATGACCCGCTCTACCTCCTGAGACAGATGATAAAATATTTTATAATTACAAATTGCAGTTCTGAGAAACATTAAATATGATCTTTTCATTAACCATTAAAAAGAATTTACAGTCCCACCTTGTTCATCAACTTGTTATCAAGAACGTGCCTGCCACAACGTTTCACAACCAGCTGTCATTTGTTGGCATGAAAGGAAGTCTGCTTATCTGTTGTTTCAGGTTTCAACATGATGATTCAGCTGTCTGTTTCACCAGACTTAGTCACATTGAGTGTGACGCAAGATTGCAAGTAGTTTTTACTTTCACACTTTTCTTCTTTTAATTTATTTTAGTTAGAGTTTTAACTCATTCACTGCCAGCCATTGGCAGTGAATGAGTTAAACCCATTGACTCATTCACTGCAATTGACGGCTATAGACGTCAATGGCAGTGAATGAGTTAATATTATTTCTTGAGAACTAAAATATAAATTTAGTCATGTTGATTTTCTGTTCTGCAACCTTGATTGAGCTCAACGGTATATCTAAAGTGAATTGTAAAATGAGTGATGTTGTTTTGAGATAATGTGACATCATAGCTTTGCCTAAGCAAACACCTCCTCCTTTTGTTCAAACCTTTTAATTTAATTTCGTTTTCTTTTGTTTTTTTGTGATGTTTTTAATGCACCTCTAGAGGGCATAATAACTACATTTAAAACTAAACGCAACACATGAATCCAGGAACACTCACTTGATTTAGCTCAAAAGTGTGAATGATCCTGAGAAAGTCATGCTAAAGATGGCTAAATAACTAATTAATTTACTAGCTCAACTGTTACAAGCTTTCACATGTCCAGAAATCTCCCCAGTGATGTTTAAGAGATTAACATGCAACTGCCTTCCTTTAATCATCCAGTTTCTTTCTTCTTCTTCTTTTCTTGTGAGGCTATGATGATCTCATTCCTATAAACACGGATCACAGGAACATTCCCGATGACCGTGGCATTTATCAAAAAGGACACCAGCCATACTGTTGTCTGTCTGGCTTGAGTCATGCTTTCCTCTTGCCCATGCTATGAATAAAGATCAAGGGGGATGGTATTTATAAGTTTTATTAATAAATCCTGGAGCAGTGTGTATCATTAACCATCAACATGAGAGCCATCTCTCTGTGTTGGTGATTGAAAAGGGGTTACAGTGTGGAATATTAATTTTTTCAAAGCAAACAAAGAGATGTAACCTTGCTTCTTCTTCTATGAGATGTAAAAGTGCCACATTAAAAAAAACTGTATTATGTATATTTTTATATATTTTTTTTATTGACTCTATTTAATTTGTAAAATATGTGTACACACACACACACACACACACGTAGAAAAACATTTAGTATACACATCCAGAAATTTTTTTTTCTTTTTTTTTTTTTTGCATATACTATTATATATTGTACATATATTTATTAGTTTCAGATTTAGCCATTCGTATATTTTGCCTGTTTATGTTATTGTATTTTGCACAACTCTGTTGCTTGTGAAGCTCGCACACAAGAATTTCACTCGCATGTGCTGTACCAATGTACCTGCACATGTGATGTGACAATAAAAGTGATTTGATTTGATTTGATTTGATGATGCACTGTATGTCTCGGGGGTAAGGAGACAAAACATCTGTCAGCACTAAGCGTCTGGAGGAGACATGTAAGGCACTGTAAGTATGATGAAATCAAGGAAACAGTACCACCCCCACTCACTTCAAATCACACACCCACTGTTCACACCTGAAACTACTTGTGGTCATCCATTGTTAAACACCTACACTGCCAAGAAGGCTCACACACATAATGTGATGTGACCACGCATGATAAGGTGCTGCAAGTTTCTGTGTAATACAGGAAAATTGAAAATGCAATACAGCTTTCCAGTGAGTCAGTTTGGGTTTAGGTGGGTGGGTTGGTTTTTTCACTACATTTCTCACACACTTTTTTTTTAAAGTTACACTTCCACAAATTAAAGTGAAAGCTTGTACTTCTTCTAACACTTTGTATAGCTAACTGACAAAACTGCTTATAGTTATAGGTTATTTTTAAGGTGCTTGTCATTTTGCATAGCTTTGGTCCCCGTACAATTCAGCATCAACTATCAGCCTACAGTATCTGACAGCTGTGGCAACTCAGCAAATTCAGAATTTACAAACAAAAAAATATGTGAGCACATAATTAATGCTTTTTGCATTTTGAAATTAGCTCCGCATGCACAAGCTACAATGATTAAACAGTGAGCTTTTAGTAATAAAATAAATGGATCAACTATTATCTGCAATAACATCAAAGTACCCATAATGCAAAATTATACTTTCATTTTCAGTATGTGCATTATGACTCTGCTTTTGCTCTGGGGAATTTCATGATGCATTGACTATGTTCTCCTTGGAATTCAGCGTATTTATGGCATGTAATTGCCACATTTACTTCATCCATCGCTGCTAATACAGTCAGAGCGGTATAGGGTGAGATGTATGTCGCTCCATTTTTCACCCTGTCCCTCCTCATATTGAACACAGCAATAAATACTGCATGTGTTGTTCTTTGCTCTGCCCCGCCCTTTGCCATAGCTCTTGTTTTGCAGCCCTGGGATTGAGGCATCTTCATTCCAGTCCTCTGTACCTCACAAGCACCATCAATAATTCTGCTAAAGAGTGCACTGAGCTGAAAATGGGGGGGGGGGCTAGTAGGGATGTGGGGGGGTGAGGTGACACTTGATGGCTTTTCCATGGCACACTCAATCTCTCTCTACCTCCTTCTATTCCCGTTGTGCTCCCACATTTCCTAACATGACCTTCTGCAATGTTGTTTATCATTTTGTGCCGTATGGACAGCAGGAACACAAACACAGGCACACAGCCTTTAGCCCTTTGAGAAGCAGAGAAGAGGCACCATAAAAAGCTGAAGTAGGCTCTCAGGGGAGCTTTTATTTGTCTTTTTACACTGCCATGCGAAGCCATGAGAAGAGGTCATTATCAATCGGGGGAAAGGGTCTGAATGTTACAATAAGCGCATTATGACAGATAATGGAATCTAACATTAAGGCACTTGAAAAGCATACCTTTTTCATTTGGTTGGAATTTAACCTTGATGTTTGACAATAGATATGTCCACAAAGCAGTTTCTGAGGCTTTATTAAATTTTGTCAGGCGCTGTGTATAAAACCTCTTTATGCCACGGAACATAAGCTTTGCTCCGTTTGTTCACACGTGGTATTTTTAGCTTGTTTATGAGAAACAGTCTGAAATGTTTTTCTTCATTTCTCAAATAAACAAGAGTCTGCTGCCTCATAAATGTTTTCATGGCTCGCACACAAATGGAAATCAACCTTTTAGGCTGAGACTGTTGCTAATAGATGGCAGTGGCCTTCCCTCTGGGTGTTAGAACATTTGTCTGCCGCCACACATTCCACTGAGCCAATTCCTCGTTTGAAACTCGGATCTTATGATACCAGATGAATCAGATGAATTTTTTGCAGCAGAAAACTATCTACTCCTATCATGCTGAGAAATGTAATAAGGCCTCTCTAACTGGTCTTCAATATGCTTTTTTTTTTCCGCTGTGCATTTTTTTAAAGAGATCTTTTGCATATTGGAAGCCCATCTTATTGATACGTGGTCATTTTAAGCAAACAAACAACATTTAATAACAACGTGACTATTTTAGATTTTCGTATGGCGTTGTGATTTAGTTTTTGTTTTGTTCTGCTTTTGCAACTGTCCTTTCCACCAAACCTTCTCTAAACATCTCTTTTCCCTTTGTAATGTTGGACTTTTATTAACAAATGTCAGCATCTGGCAAATCAACTATGCAGCATTAGACACTGTGGCGACCTCTTGTGACTAAGGGAGCAGCTGAAAGTGGCTTTTTTTAAGCATGGTAAGAATACAATTTCAGATATGCTACACACAATATCTGTTGTACCTTCTGAGCAACATATAAGAAAATTAGCATGATGATATAAGAAATCAAATTAAAGATTCACAAATGTATTCCTCTCATCTGTTTCATTTTAATCTGATTTTATCATATTTTAACAGGACAGTGTTCAGAGGTGGGGTTGTTGTTTTTTTTTGTTCAGATGCAATTCCTGATGCAACCCCAAAGAGGATTTGTGTCTCTGAGTGTACTTGAACAAACAATCTTTTCATTGTAAAGCAAATGTGTAAATAAACACTGTTATTATCTAGAACATTCCCAAAGACACGAGAGCTGCAGCCCACATAAAAATAAAAAAAAATCCCACAAAACCCACCCAATTTTAAGTGTAATCAAAATACAAGAGAAAGTGATTTAGTTCCTGGAATTTCTTATTTTATTTTATTCAAAAACATAAACGTCACAGGCTGTTTGCTATAAATGGCTTGTGTTACCCAGTGCAAAGGGTTAAGGTCAATGTATGATCCACCTGCCACTGGGACACAAGCTTTAATACAAAGCAGTAAATTTAAGTCAGAGTGATGAGTAATATCAAAAAGTAACCACCTCCTATTCCCAGTTTAATTCACGCTATATATAAATAAATACATTTATATAATTATGTAACTGTACATAATTGAAAGTAATTTCAAACTTTCTTCTCCTCTTTCTTTCAAATTTTTTGTGCCCCACCATGGGGCCCCTGCCCACACTTTAGGAATCACTGATCTAAAATGAATGTGACCTTGCAAGATTCCTACGATTTAATGACAGCATTATTCAAAAATGTACACAATTACAAGCATAATGTCATTTTATCATACAAACTCCGTTAAGCTGGCACATGTTAAGACTAAACTTCCACAATCTCAGGAAACAGATGTGAGCGTCTCCGATCTCTAACGTATGTTCTATAATTACCTCTTTATTCCCTCATCTGTTATGGTATCAAATATAAAATAAAGGGCAAAGACATTAAGATCACAGTTTAAATTGACAGCAAAGTGAAATGAATGAGCTGCTGGAGAAGATGGCCTACTGCAGTGGGACTAATAAACCTACAGGCAAGTTCAGAAGGCATAGGAGGTTCCTCCATCTGCCAATTAAATGAAGAGGAAACTGATGGATAAACAGTTTCATTGAGGATCAGAAAAGAGTGATGAAGCTGTGAGCGCCACAGGGAATTTTACTGCATTTACATCATAACTGCCACCAACTTTGTCTTCTTAAAGAAAGAAACAAA